CCCCTATCATTTTAACTCATCCAATAAACTTCTTGGCTTTTAAAATTTTTTCTAAGCTTTGGACAATATTCTTTAATTTTTATTACTAATCATTATCTCTTTGCAAATACAGTGGTGCCCCGCATAGCGAGGTTAATCCGTTCCGGATTAAGCTTCGCTATGGGGAAACATCACTATACGGATCAAAAAAACCCATGTTTAATGTGTTCCAAATGGGCCCGAAACTCACAGTTCTGCAATGTTCCCCCATGTTCCGGCGGCCATTTGGGGGGTTCCGGTGGCCATTTTGGATGGTTTTGGTGGCCATTTTGGGTGTTCCAGTGGCCATTTTTGGGGTGGTTCCGGCGGCCATTTTGGGTGGTTCCGGCGGCCTTTTTGGGTTTTTCAGCCACCGCCGAACAGCTGTTCCCCCTCGCAATGCGAAGAAACATCGGTATGCGATCGCATTAGCGATCGCAAAATCCGCATCAGTATGCGGATTCATCGTTAAACGGTGCGCTCGTTATGCGAGGCACCACTGTATATTAAAATTCTGATTTTCCCCCATTTCAGTATTCTCAAATTCTTTCTTTTTAGCCAATGTATCTGATATGCTTTTAAAAATCCTCATCATATGTTTTCTTTCCAACAACCATACTTTATCCTCAACCGTTTAAAATGATTTTTCTCTCTCATTTACTCTTTGCTATTCTGAGGGGAGATATGATAGCATGTTTGAAATATTTGAAAAGCTTTATTACAGAGGAGGGGCAGGATCTGTTCTTGATCATCCCAGAGTACAGGACACACAACAATGGGCTCAAGTTACAGGAAGCGAGATTTTGGTTGAATATCAGGAAAAACTTCCTAATTGTTAGAGCTGTACGACAGTGGAAACAATTAGCTTGAAAGGTGGTGAGTGCTCCAACACTTGAGGTATTGAGAAACTTAGACAACCACCTGGCAGATATCCTTTGATTTGTATTCCTGCACTAAGCAGGGGGTTGGATTCGATGGCCTTATAGGCCTCTTCTAACTTTATGATTCTAAGATTCCAGTTTTTTCTTTTTCTGATTCATTGCCAGAAAACACAAATCGGGGGGGGGGGG